AGCAGGCGGGGGTGACTTGCTGTCTTCAAGTGTTGTCTAGTCATCATGGCAGCAGCCCTTCGTGTGTTTCCATCTGGAACATATTTCCTCAGGCCAAGTTGTACCAGAAGGCAGCTTGCCTGGGTAGTTAGCACGATAGAAACAGAAAAAGCAACTAGAACCAAAAAAAAAAAAAATGTGGCCAAAGGGAGACGGCTCCTAGCTGAGTTCCAGGCTGCCACTGGCATCACGGTTAAGCTGTGGGCAATCTTTAGGGAAATTTTGGGTAGCCAGGTTGTTTGAAGATACATGCTTGGGAGTTGTCCTCTGAATTCTTTTCCTACAGGTAAATGGACAGCAGTAAGGAGCTGCCAAGGTTACCTGGAAAGTTTCACTCACACAGAGAGCTACTGTAAGGAAGAAGGGAGGCTCTCTTCAGAAGCAACCGTGTAGACTACATTCAGATGTTACTCAGGAGGTCTACGCTACGTTACTCAGTTGGCATTGCCACAGATTGCTACCTTTCTAGTGAATTTGACAGTGTTTTACCCTGCGTAAGGTTTTAAAGTATAACTAAGCATTGGGTAGTAATAGACTGACTTCCTGAGTGTGGCAAAGCAGTAAACCTGCGGAGAAGTACCAACAAACATCCTGATTCTTAGTCTTGTGGGGAACCCCTTGTTTCTACTTCCACTTTAATTTTTAGTTAAATTGTTTTTTCTGCTTTGTTGGTTTGTTTTGAGAAAGCATTTCTCATGGTATGCTATATAGCTAGGCTAGTCTCAAATGTGTGATCTTCCTGTCTGGGACTCCATGGAGTTCAGATATGTACCATGTCTGGCTTAAAGTTTTAACTTTGCGCCTGAAGGCTCTGCAATGATTTGGCTGATTATAAAATCCTATTAACTTAGAATACACCTGTAGTCGTCTCATATCTAAGTTCCCTCGTACCCAGATCCTAATGATATGACAAAAATCACCTTTCCCCAAGGGACTAGAAACTCCACAACCCTGAGCCACATAGGATTGATCTGAGCTGGGTAGGAAAACTCCGGTAAGGCCAGGTGCTAGACACAGTTTCTTAGAATGCCAAGCTACCTTCTTCCTTCCTGTGGACAGAAGCACAATGACCACCCCCTATCTTCCACCAATCCCCAGCTGTTCCTCCACAGAGCATATGTCTCCAGAGATGCCCTCAGCCAGGGCTTCGACATTCCATCAGCCTGGATCAGACATCTGAAGAGTGGTTTCTGATTCATCCTGGCCCCTTTAAATCAGATGATAAACTTGTGGTAGCTGTCTTCTTCTTCCTACTCCCATCCCCATCAGAAACATCGTGTTACTCAGGTTGTCTGTAAGTAGTACCCACCTGTGTCAACAAAGGATCGCGAGAGGTGAAAAGAAGGGCAGCTGACGGTGGTCTAGGGTAGCGGTTCTATGTGAGACGTGGTGTCATCAATCCTGCTAGCATTCTTAGTAACCTCTCCGAGTCATTTTGAGCAAGTCACATTCAGTTATCCGGGTGCTCTTTGGACCAGAACTGTGACTGTGGTTTGCTTGGCTCAGCACCGTAAGCATGAGCTGTTGAGGAGGCATTTCAGCCACTAACGCAGGGGTGAAAACAGTGTCCCCACAGCAGGTGAGCAACTGTCCTTGACCATCTGGTGGCTATCGGCTGAAAAGATGTGTTTGTAATGGGACTGTGGCTAAGCAGTTTTCCCAGCTCAGCGCAATAATAACACAATCCCGGAATGGAACAGGTGGTTGTTTCCAGTGATCTGTTAGGGACTCTCTAGACTCTTTGGAGATAGATCATCTCACCTTGGGCAGAATGGCTTCCCTCTTCCTGTGGCAGTTTGAGCTCCATTAGAAACAGACACCAAGCTAGAACTGGGGCATATGCTTATGAAGAACCAAGGCAGAAACAGTCTGTGTAGCTCATTCGTACAGCGGGTGCATGCATCTAGGAGCCAGCGCAGTTTTAAGGTTCTATGTGCATGCTTTAACTTTGCTTGTCTTAAAGGTGAAATGAATAACAAAACAAAGATAACAAGTCTAGCCTAGATGACTCCATCTTTCTACCAACGCAGTCATATACTAGGAATTTTCATACTGTACAAGATGCAAGAGTACCTAGTGGCAACAAATATGATAATGTCTCCCTGAGTGAAAAAGACCTTCATTATAAGATGCAGATCCAGAGACAGAGGAGAGACCAGGCCTCCAGCAGAATAGGCCGGCTGTAGTGTCCCTGGTTGCTCTGGCATCCAGGAAGCATTGTACATTGGGTAGGAACACTGTCATAAATCCACAGATAGGGCAACTGAGACGGACAAGCCATAGGTCAAAAGAGCTTCTTTATTAACCAATGGTAATAAAACATATTCACAGAATACATAGAGAAATTCCACGCCAAGGTTATAAATCCTTTGGGATGTGATGCCCTGCAGGTTTATAACATGCTCCTGCCTGTGGTCCACTTTCTGTTTACTCTTTTATTAGTATGTTAGAAAGTAAGACGTCCTAACCACCTGCTCCCACCAACATGGGGCCATCAACGGCATGCTTTTATTCTAGATTGCCTTTCTTGTTATGATAAACACCATGACCAAAGTTGCTTGGGGGAAAAAGGGTTTATTTCATCTTACAGCTCCAAGGTCACTGTCTATCACTGAGGGAATTTAAGGTGCTGTGGAACGTCCTTTCGTATAAGTGTTGCTTTTATTGGTTACTGAATAAAGCTTTTCTGTTCAATGGCTTAGCAGAGTAAAGCCAGGTGGGAACTCCAAAGAGAGACAGAGAGAGAGAGTAGGTGGAGACAAGGAGACACCGTGTAGTTGCCGAAGGAGATGGTCACCAGAATCTTACCTGGTAAGCCAGAGCCTCATGGTGATACACATTATAACAGAAATGGGATGTTTTAAGATATAAGAACTAGTTAATAAGAAGCCTGAGCTAATAGGCCAAACAGTGTTGCAATTAATATAATTTCTATGTGTTTATTCAGGCTGGGCAACTGGGAAACAAATATCAATCTCCTCCTACTTCAGGGCAGGGGCTCAAGCTGGGAACTGAAGCAGAGACCGGTGGAGGAATGCTGCTTGCTAGCTTGTTCAGCTATCTTTCCTCTACGGCTCAGACCAATGTGCAGGGATGAGACTTCCCACAGCAAGATCCTCCCCCATGTCAGTTTTTGACTGTTTTTGATCAAATACTCCTTACTGTAATTTTTAAAATATTGTGTACACCAAATCAACATACCTGCAAGTTGGAAACAAAGAACTTCTGATATGTAAGGAAGACAACTTCTTATTTTATAGTCAAATGCCCCTCCCTCTAATACAATCCTAGGGTCCTGCCTGTCTCAACAAGAACAACCTAATAATAGAGAAGCATGTGACCATAAATGACTCCATTCTAACGTGACTCCATTTACTAAGAATTCATGGGAGTATAAAAAAAAAACAGAGCCTCTTGTTTTATGTCATAAGAGCAAAACAGTACTTCACAAGGGAGTACTGCCGGGAAGAGAGGGCTTCCTCTCAGGAGGAAGACACAAAGCGAATGCTTGATGTGGGAATTGCTTATTGTTCCTACTATTCTTACGGCTTTCTAACCAAGAGAAGAGAAATTCTTATTAACCAAGCACTATATCCTAAAAGCAAACAAATAAATTAAGGTTAACCATGCACTATAGCCTAAAAACAAATGAATAAATTACAGTATACCTGTTCTGAGCTTATAAATAGAAAAAAACATTCTGTCCAAGCCACACTGCATAGCTCTTCTCTATCACAACCTAAATAAATGTATAGAAAATTGCTACTAGTGCCAAAACTCCCCCTTATAGAAAGCATACCATAGGACAGGCATAGCTCTAGGTTCATAAATTGTATTGTTATTTCCTTATAATTACAGTGAGCAACTATGTTAGGCACACAATAAGCACTCTACATACATGATCTCCTTTCATAGTCAGCAGTCCTATGAGGAAAGCACAGTTATCTGTCCCACCCCACCTCCAGTCCACTCCTCCTCTATTTCTGTTTAGGAAAGGGCGGGTCTCCTATGAGTATCAATAAAGTATAGCATATCAAGTTGCAGTAAGACTAAGCACCTCTCCACGTATTAAGCCTGGGGAAGGCAACCCAACCGTTAAAAGCTAGGCTCATAAACCGAAAATAATAAAACTTTCTAAAGCATATAAGATGTACATAGGTTACATACAAACAGTAGTCCATTTTATATGAAGGACTTGAGTATTCACAGAATTTAATATACCCAGGGGTTCCTGGATCTAATCTCGTCCAAATAGCAAAGGATGTCAGGGTTCTCATTCTAGAGCCCAGGAAACTGAGGCTCAGACAAATTCAGAGATCTGCTTAAGTCCCAGCACCTCACTAAGGAAGTGGGATTCCAAGTCAGCTCTCTTCAAGAGCGAATCAAAGCTCTTCCCAGTCTCCATATTGTTTCAGCTTCTGCCCTTAGTGGAGCTTAGTGGCTCTGGGTCTGCCGGGTGCTGTTGTTACCAGGGTATAGCAACAACAGCATCACAGGTTCGGACTCCCAAACCCTAGCCCTGCCTATAAGCTCCCTTAGTATCACTCAGTCACACAGTATGCATTGGATATAAGTCGTGGTATAAGGTCTCTCCATGCTCTTTACATAAAGGACAGTACCGTCTTAATGTCCTCAAAGAAGGCTTGGAAAGGGATCACACTTGATATAGTGGTGCAGTCATCTGTGAAAAATCAAACACTCCAAACATGACACATCTTTCCTGTGTGGATAATTTACCTCAGTCAAAAGTAAAGGGAAAATTTATACTGCTTCTCCTCTGGCATTCGCAGTGTGCAATAAACTCTTGCGTCCATCTCGCAGCTGTGACATTTATGTACCCACAACCACCTTCCTCCTCACCCCTTCCAATGAATTATATTGAGGTGAGTCCCGAAACGACACAGCTTCATCTGCAGCTTACCAGCCTGTCTTCCCCCGTGTTCTGTTTGTCTGATTTCCAGGCCACTATATGTACGTGGACTCCGTTTACGTCAAGCACTTCCAGGAGGTGGCCCAGCTCATCTCTCCGATGACCACAGCCCCCATGTCTGGCTGCCTCTCATTCTATTACCAGCTTCAGCAAGGCAACGACAATGTCTTCACTCTTTACACCCGGGATATGGCTGGCCTGTATGAGGAGATCTGGAGAGTGGACAGTTCAGGCAGTGCCACCTGGAACCTTGCAGAGGTGGAGTTCAGTGCTCCTTACCCCATGGAGGTAGGTGAGCCCTGGCCTGCTGGCACACTGAGATGCTACACACACAGGCATGGAGGTCACGCCACCGTACTTCCTAACTTACCTCAATCATGCTTTTGAAGACAGGAATACATTGACTTTATTTTTTTATTTTTAATTCATCAAAAAAACAAATTAAACCAATTTATGTAGTGAAGAGTGATGTTTTGATTCTATATGACTCAAAAGGGTGGCAATCAAGTCCTGATAGCTAGCATATCTACCACCTCAAACATTTATTATTTGTTAGTAGTGGCAACATTGAAAATCTCTCTTCTAGGTATTTTGAAAGGTACAAGGTGTCATTATTAACTATAGTTGACCTACTGTCCAATAAGGACCAAACTATACCCTTTTAATCTAATTGTAATTTTGTACCCGAAGACCACATCGCCCTCTCCCTCCCACTCCTGATACACCTGCCTCTATTGTAGTCGTTTAGGAGGGGCGAGCTCAGCAGTTAGGAGCACTGGAAGCCAGACGAGGGTCGCTGATCCCTTGGAACTGGGGCTGCTGGCACTTTTGTTGGAGCGCCTGGCTTATTATGTGGGTGTTGGGATTCGAACTCCTGACCTCCTGAGTGGGCAGCAAGCACTCAGCTCCTGAAGGAAGCATCTCTCCAGCCCTTCAATTGTTTCCTTCCCTCTCTTGTCCCTTCATAATCTCTTTGCTTCTCTCCCCCGTAACCCCTTTCTTTCTCTCTCATTGTCTTCATTTTCCATCAGGAGTAGTTTCCTAAGGACAAGCGTGGAAGGCAGTCTACCAGTTGAATTCCCTGATGCACGTTCCCTCTGATCTGGTGCTATAAGCATTGACAGTTCTAAGCGAGAGGTCAGGGCCTGAGTATGACTCCTTCCTGAACCTCCACCCCAGAGTTCCCCGTCATCTGAGGTCCTTTGCCTTTACCCTGATAGCAATCTGGGTAGATGAAAAGAGAGTCTTCGGGTGCTGGGTTTGGCCAGCGCTAGTTTGTCTCCCTTCGTGCAGCAGCGATACTCACAGAAGGCAGCCGGAGCAGCAACAAAGGCAGCAGGAAGCGCCCTATCACGTTACAATTCTTGTGCGTCCCTCTAGAATCCAGACCATGGGCCCTACAAATGCTACCCTTGCCTGTCTGCCTAGAAAGTCACGTTCCTCAGTCTTTCATACCAGCCAAGGCTGTAGCTGAGACCCAACATCTGAGGTCCCGTGGCCTCTAAGACTTGACTCTTTCAGTGACCAAATCCTGCACATCCTCTGCTGTGGGCCCCCTGTGGCTTTTTATCCCCCCTCTTCAGTCTCTGCCTTCGACCTTCTCTTGCCCTCTCTCTATTTTTACAGCCCTTTCCTTGCTGCCGGCCACTCGGAGCTGCTTAGGTGCCCCTTCTCCAGCTGTCGCCAGCCAGCTGCCTTGGCACATTACAGCCCTGCCTCCATGGTGCTCAGCAGTCACGGCTACACCTGCCGCCGCCACCGCTCTGCCGTCTGCTGCTTCTTTCTTCACGTTTCTCAGTAAAAGAAAAAGATGACTGGAGAGAAGCTTTTTACGGGGTCTGGAACAGCAAGGGAGATCTCACAGCATAAAGTCTCCAGACCCATTCCCTAAGCGAGCCTGAGCAGCTTGCTTACAGCTAGGGAACCAATTGCCTTGTCTCCTGGCACCAACCACAGCCATCGAGACTTCTATTCAAATCAATCACAGTCTTGCCTCTTTAGCATCAGTCACAGAAGCCCCTCTGTAGGGCCACCAAGAGACGTGAACCTAGGTAGAAGGGGTTGTAAGGTCATCTAGAGTTCACTGAGACTTGTGATAGCAAAAGGTCTGGTACAAACTGTCCAACAGCCCTGGAGGAAGCTGTGCCTTCAAAAGCCAGGGCAATCTTCTGTGATCACTGCGCAGTTTTCTCCAGGCGGTCACGCCTGCTGGTGCTGGCACAAGAGTATCAACTGATAGTCCTTTGATTCAAAGAATCCAATGAGCCAGAGAAAAGTTCCACAGCTGCTAATTGGAGAGTTGGATTCCCACGTCCAGCCTCTGTTGAACTACAAGAAAATGCACATCAGAATGCATACTTACGCTATAAACCTGAAGAATGTTTCTGAAAACTAGCAATGATTCTTTAGCAATGTTTTAATGGTGCTCACCACCTGCGCAGTGATCCAAGGGGAGATGGGTCTCCCTCATCTGTTTCATTAGGATCAGTTTTAAAGGTTTCCCTTAATTAAGGGAACCATGTTTCTAGAGAAAAAATATTTACTTTCGTCTTTGCAACAAAAACAATCTTAAAAAAATCAGAAGTAAACTTATCATTAGAGCCTTAATTTGAAACAAATCTTGTTCGTATGTTGCTACTTTTTACAATTCTATACATGATAAATATCTAAATCAAAAGAATTAGAAAATTCAAAGAAACAAAAATAAGTTAAACAACTTCCCAACAACAAAGACAGCTGACCTTGTAGTGCTTATTGCTACAGATCTTTCTTTAAGCACATATCTGATGTGTGTCTTTCAGAACTTCCAAGTACTGGTAGTGTTTCCTGCCCTCTAAAGTACACACATACAATCACACTCATAGTCAGAGGACAAAGAAGAAAACTGAACTGTCCAAGAGGTCTGACGTCTTCTTTTCTAGGCCACACAGCTGGTTGATGCCAGCGAGCTTAGGAGACTTCCTAGACTAATGAACAACCGAAGAGGAAGTACTTTGGTCTGTCTTAGGCCTCCACCAGGCCACAAGAATCTGGGGGTGCAGGATCTGGGGGTGCAGCATCATGGCTGAGCATTTGCAGCTAGCTATAAGTAGCATGTTTGTTGCCAAAGTTATTAATACCCCCCAGCTTTTCCCCTTGTACTTTCTGAGGCATCTTCTCCAGTTCCTTTTAAAGAACAGAAGTGGCCTGCTTCCCTGGCTGCTTTTCAGTGGCGCCATCTGCTAGCCTGCTGTGGAACTGGAGAAGGCTGAGCTGGCTCTCCCTTGCCAATGTGCTCTGTCTGCTGCTGGTGTGCCTTGCCTTGCTCTACTGTCTCCTTCCTATCCCTCTCAGATCCCTCCCTCCGAACAGCACCAGAGAGAGCACAGTGCCTTTGGAGAATGTGTGCGATTTCCTGTCACCAAGGCTGATCAGGCTTTGATTTTTGCTCTTCCAGCCCAGTGGAAATTTTTCTGTGAGTTTGGGTTACAGAAGGAAAAGAAATGCTGCCCCAGAACATTTTCCTCTATTAAAGTCAAATGAGTCACACATTAATGCACAGTCAGGCAGGCATGTGTGTATGCACGTGCGTGCGCATGTGTGTATGTGTGCACACGCGCGCGCGCACACACACACTGATAGTGTTTTCTTTACCAACTTTTTTTTGTTCAACATAAACTCTCCAGGCAACATTTACATGAGTGAAGTATTACTGGATTTTTATTTTTTTAAATCGGCACTTGAAAAGTCAGAATGCTGGGCACTGCTAACCCTTCACATGAATCTTTAGATCCACATGTGTGCGATCTTGTTCCACTACTCTAGGTCTGTCGTTTGTGTTGCTTGCTCTTACTAATTGCCAAGAAAAAGAATCAGCACTAGAGAAATCCGTGAACTCAATGCCACCACATGCATCTTAAGTGCATTTCAAGAGGAAAATAAACATAGGGGACTTTTCTGAACAGAGAACGCCGGCATATGAGCTGGTATTGGCAGACCTTTGTCAGAAAGAGCTTCTTAATCTCTCTGCTCAGGATGAGCAATCTCTTCCCTCCTCCATCTGCCACCCAGTGTCAGTGTGTGGTGGGGACAGGGTGGGAGTGAGGATGGGGTGGGGGCAGGGGACATGAACACATCACAATTTTCCCTTTTATAAAGACTGTAAGGACAGCAATCATTTGGAAAAGAGACCTATCCTTCTGCAGTTGACCTCATCTTAATTACATTTGTTAAGAAAACAAAACAAAACAAAAACAAACCTCAGTCTCCAATAGGGTAACACACTGAAATCCTAGGGATTAGGAGCGACTTAGCAGCTGCCTCCTTTAGATAGAGTTGCCTTCTCCACTCTTGAGAGTCTGCATCACAGCAGGCCAACCTCATGTCTTTACACCTTCCTGGCCCTCCCTGGCGTGCATTTAAGCTTCAAGCCAGGAGCCACAATGTGACTTAATCATCAACTCACACAGCAGAGACTGCACACCTGGACTGTTTTCCTACCGTGACTTGGGGCTGTGCTGATCATACCTGATGTCTTATGGCCACACGCAGAAAGTTCAGTCAGTAGGTGGGAGATAAGGAGCTAAAAGTGAAGGGACTGATTTCATTGACCTATGGTCATTGTGAATCCATTGGAACATGGCTGGAAAGGCCTCGGTACAGTGCTCTGACCACTGTGTCTTTGCCCGGGCTTTCATTTGGAGCACCATACGGGGCAAGGGCACAGCAAGTTAATTTCCCGTAGGTAACAGAAGACCCTAATCTACTTTCCTCACTGACTTCTTCTTACAGATGAAGCCCATGGTGCTCATGAATTCTGGAATTCTGTCAGAAATATCTTGGGCATGCCAGATGATAGTTGAGGAGTGGGGCGTGCAGCTACTGGTGAAGACAAATGCCAGATGTCTTGGTCCATTATGGAAGCCACAACCAAATGCCATAGCCTCAATGACTTATAAACATCACTGTAGTTGGTTTTTGTTTTGTTTTGTTTTGTTTTTTGTTTTTTACTCTTTTGGCTCTTTGCTTGCTTTGGGGTGGGGGTCCACCACCCAGCTCCCAAATAAATACATGGAATCTTATTATTTGAAAGGCCTGGCCTAAGCTTGGCTTCTTTCTAGCCAGTTTTTCTTAACTTAAACTATCCCTTCTAATTTTTGCCTCTGGGCTTTTGCCTTTCTATTTATCTTTCTTTACTTCTTACTCTGTGGCTTACTGTGTACCTGGGTGGCTGCCCCTGGAGTGCCCCCTCCTTCTCTTCTTTCTTCCGACCCCATCTTCTCTTCTCAGATTTCTCCTATTTATTTTCTCTGCTTGCCAGCCCTGCCTATCCTTCTCCTGCCTAGTTATTGGCCATTCAGCTCCTTATTAGACCAATTAGGTGTTTAGACAGACAAAGTAACACAGCTTCACAGAGTTAAACAAATGCAACATAAAAGAACGCAACACATCTTTGCATCATTAAACAAATGCTCCACAGCCTAAACAAATGTAACATATCTTCAACTAATATTCCATAACATATCAGAAATTTATCTCTCAAAGAAACTCTCTCTAGAAACTGAGAAACCCAAGCTGAACGTGCTCACAAATTTATGTGGCAAGGGTACTTTTTCCAGTGCATAGATGGCATCTTCCACTGTGTCTCCACATGGAAGAAAGCTCCTTGGGACTCATCACTAAGTTCAAGAACAGAGGCTCTGCCTTCATGAGCTAATCACCTCTCAAATGACCCACTTCCTGATACCGCCACATTGAGGATGAGTCCTCAATAGATATAACATTTCAGCAAGCGAATCTCCTCAAAACGCAGCAGCAATTTCATTCTCCCTGAAAAAGGCTGTGGGTCAAGTAGGTTGATAACCGGGTACATATTGGAAAGTGACTACAAGAGTCCTTGTAACTTGGCCTCAACTGGTTTGGTTGATGTGTCGTTTTCAGTCAGGTAAGAGCAAGAACGTATGTAAATATATGCAAACCTGTCATTTTCCTTCCCAGGTTATTTTTGAAGTTGCCTTCAATGGTCCCAAAGGAGGCTACGTTGCTCTGGATGATATTTCTTTCTCTCCCGTTCATTGCCAAAATCAGACAGGTAAGTCCTGCTTCTTCTTCCTCATTTGGGATGTGCCTGCCTCACCAGATGTCCAGAGTTGGCACTTGTTTTGAGTTTTTAATTTCTTCCCCTATTTTCCTACTTTATCTTTAAAAGGTCAGCAGTTGAATAATCTTTTTTTCTGGGGCATTACCCTCTTTCATCCCTCATATGGTGGGTTTAGTTTCTTTGATAATACACACAAGTTTTCCTGAGGCATTTTTGTCTTTTCTCTCTCTATTAGGAAAGAAAAGGTTAAATATTAATTTACCCAAATTAATTTATCTCTTTAAAGGATATCTTGACTCCATACAATGAATAGATGAATAAATTTAGAGAAAAACAAAACTAAAAACTCATAACCTACTTAACGGAATTATAGAAACTCTAATTTTTAAGCCTTCACGATTCATAATGTCCTTATTCTTACAGATATTAGTATTCAGCAGACATTTCTAAGATGGTCTTGGCTAAACGGGATGTGCTCTTAACTCCTTTCTTTTTTCAGAGCGAACCCTCACATAATTTTATCCAGGCCCAAATTATACTTCTATAAAGTTCGGTGTCTGAAAAGAGAGGGGATTCTCTACTTTCTCGGAAAATGGATAAGCAAAGTATTTTATAATAAGGGTGCCAGTAGTTAAACCATGGCACAGGTAGATGCAACTGACCTCACTGTCCAGCTGATTCGTTTCCTTGCAACAGCCAGGGTGAAGCCGTTTCCATCCACCCCACTAACCAGCACTCTTTCTGCATCTGAGCAGGGGAAAGGAGCTCGTGAAGCTGACCTTTGTGGCCTGACTTTCTCTTAAGACAGAACTGGTTTCTGATGCGCTTCCAGCGATATCCTATCAAGCAGACTAAGCAAATGTTTCCCACTTGAGCTAAACTGTTATCCCCAACTTAGAGAGAAACCTAATTTGCTAACGAGAAGCTAAGGGTTTTTTTGTGATGGTGGTTTGAGTGAAAACAGTTCCCATAGGCTCTTATAGAGTGGCAGGGAGTGGAGGTGTGGCCTTGGAGTAGGTGTGGTCTTGTTAGAGAAAGTGTGTTACTGGGGCTGATCTTTGAGATTTCAAATGCTCAAGTCAGGCCCAGTCTCTCTCTCTCTCTCTCTCTCTCTCTCTCTCTCTCTCTCTCTCTCTCTTCCTGCTGTCAGTAGAATTCTAATCTACTTCCCCAGCAATCAAGTCTGCCTGAAGGCCACCATGCTTTCTGCCATGACAACAATGGACTAAATCTCTGAACTGTAGGCCAGGCCCAATGAAACGTTTTACTCTATAAGAACAACAATGGTCATGTTGTCTCTTCACAGCAATAAAAACCCTGAGACGTTGTTGTTGTTGTTGTCATATTACTGATCTAATTTTTTTAGAAGGGAGTTAGATGAAGCTGTCTCAATCCATAGCCTCAGGCATGGGAGGCAAGCACTCTACACCCTGAGCTACCCGCCTAACTATGCGTTTACATATTTTCAATAATTTAGCCCAAAGCTTAAAAAGTTCGACAGAACACAAAAAAAACCAAAAACTGTTTTACATCTTAGAAATGTTATTGCTGCATGATACCACCGGTTAATGTCTCCATTGTGATAACAGTAATTTCCCAATCTCCTTGCCATGATTTTTTAAGGTTTTTTTCTGTTACTGTGGGCTTACATGACCCTTTATATCCCTAAGCTAGGCACGTGGGAGGAGGAGTACTGCACTTGGTAGAGGGGAGGATGAAGAAGTGGCCAGGAAGTACCAAAGCCAACTTTTGCAGATGCTCCCAAAAGAGATGCAGGATGTGCGTAGGCACAACCTCCCTACAACACCGGTTTGACTAGAAACAGGAAAAAATGGTTCCACCGAAACAAGGGTACTTAAGAGGGCCAGTGTCTCCTCCGCGCGTAATGTGCTCCCACAAGCCCCCGTTCCCTGCAGGAACCCACCTACGCCTTCTCATTCTGTAGGTCAGCCAAGGCGCCATGTTGGTCTTTAGAACTCTTCATCGTGCATGCCAGGCTTGCTTTTAAAAAATCACTTAATTGCATCATTTTAGTGTTATGCACAAGAACCAGGAAATGGATTCTCATCCCTTTACTCACCTTTATAAGCTGTGTGATCTTGTCACGGTAATTTTTAAGAAAGGTTTATGTATTCTTAGGTGTTTTGCCTGCCTGTACGTGCGTGCATGCAATGCCCACTGTGGCCAGAAGAGGGCATCAGAACTGTTAGTTCCAGATGATTGTGAGCCACTGTGGAGGTGCAGGGATGACAAGATTGTATCACAAAGCCAAAAAGTGAGGACTCTCCTGGGAGTCTACACTATGGCCTTTTGGTCTGTACATCTTAGAACACCCAGCAAGCCTTTCTGTCTACTTCTAGAAGACCTAACTTAATGCCCAACTCCAAAATGTTATAGCATACGCAGGTCCAGGCTTCTCACCATTACCCAGGCCAGAGACTGCAGGATTCCTGACACCTCATAGAAACTTCTCAGAAGGCCACGTGAGCCAACAGCGATCTTTCACCAACACCAGGACGCGGCCCAGAGCTCTTGTTTAGTTTGAGAACAACTCCAATTGCTGCCTAAACTATAAATGAAGCTGCTGACATTTTCTTGTCTCAGTTTCTTAAAGTGTATTTGCTACTTATCCACACGTGTCGTCATGGTTCTGTCTAGGACCAGGTCCTAGGCACACTCTCTCTCCCCCTAGTCAGCAGCGAACTGTCTCTGCTGTCTTTAAGCCGCTTTCATTGGAAAGAAAACGATGCTCCAAGGCTAGCTTCCTTCACCGCCGTCTGCGTCCGGTCCTTGTCTCTTACTGCAGGGGCTGAGGAGTCTTAGATTACAGCGCCGGTGCTTAGGTTGTCTCCAGGACCTCGGTGCAGCAGAGGAAACAGGGACACACACTCCAACTGCTCTTCCCAGGCTGCTGTACACACCAGCTAATTAGGTTGTCTAAAACACCTCCATTTCTAAGACGTTCAAACGTCAGGAGGCAAGTAATTAACTAATACTTGTATAGTGATGCATTCTGATAACTTAAGGAGTTTGCTTTCTTTTCTTTTTCCTATCAACTGATGCTCAGTGGCTCATGTCTGCCTCCAGTTCTTACCTAGGTATTCAGCGTGTCATTAACAGGCTCCAACAGCTCAATTTATGATCTGCACTTGACCCAAACTTCTGAAACAAGGAGTGAACAAGGGCTTTACCTCCACCTCAAATGCTGGGCAGTGCGCTGGGTGGATGGGGTCCCTACCTTTAGCTTTTAGTTACAGTCTCAACATGCTGCATAAAGAAAGACTTGATCTATGATTTCCAATTCTGAAATTTTCTCTTTATCAGACTATTGACAAAACACTTCTAAGACGAAGGATTTATCGAGGGAAGAAAATAGCATGACCAGAAAACTCTGTGTTGCCATGGAGAAAAGTGATCCTTGCTTAACGTTGTGCTTTACTTGTGTGTTTTGAGGTTCAGCCAAGTGATGGGAAGTCAGCGCAACCGCACATACACCCTCCTGTCCATACATATTACAGTCGCCCAGACTCCATAGTTTACCCTAAGGGTCACGGTTGGTATGACACGTTCCATGGGTGTGGACAAATTTGCAATGACATGTGCCCCCCATTACAGGGTAATCCAGGCTCTTTCTCTCCTTCCTCCCACAACCGCCGATCTTTTCCCTGTCTCCCTAATTTTGCCTTTTCCAGAATGCCTTGCAGCTCTAGAGTCGTACAGGATGCAGCCCCTTCAGACTGGCTTCCTTAGCTTAGAGTGACATTTATGTTTCCTCCAGGTCTCTTCATGGCTCCACAGACAATACCTTTTTGTAATATTCCATTGTCTAATGTACCACAGCCCAGGTACCCAACTGAAGACCGTCACGGCTGAGTCCACATTCTGGCAGCTGCAAATAAATATGCTGTAAATTTGGAATTTCAGCACTACCTCTACCCCCTCCTGTAGGCCTAACCAAGGAGCTCAGGTTCTCTTGCAGCCACCCACGGGTGCTGCTCCGACGTTCATCCCTGATGAGTAATTTTACTGACCTGATGATCCAGGCGCCAAGCATTTAGGAGTGCCTCACCAGTTCCAGAGCAAAATGGCTGGCTTTACATTTTGAATTTTCATGTGTTTTTTATTACCAAGTAGGGGGAAGTTGGCTGAAAATTGAGATGGTGGGGTTTCCTCTGGTCTCCACTATCCATGGAGAATGCTGAAGGAATGTTGAAAGATCCTAATGTGTGTGTGTGTGTGTGTGTGTGTGTGTGACATTATATTCATTTTTGCAGGCATTGTCTCCTGAGCTTAAAGATACACGTTAGTTCTGGCAGAAACAGGCAGAGCAGCATGTGGGTGAATCACCAGGCCCAGAGCACTGCAGCTCTCATTTCCTTTTCCACTCTCGGGCTCAGGCAGGTGGTCTGAAATGCCCATAGTCCAGATATAAGGGGACCGTTTCTTCTCCTTTTCCTGTAAATCACAGTTGGTCATTAACAAAAAGGAGAGAGAGAGAAAGAAAAAGAGATAAGAAGAGAAAGAATGTAACTCCTTTCGTAGCATTTCAAACTCAGATAAAATTTACAGGAATTCGGGAATACGGTGAGACGCTCCCATAGACTCTTCTCTCTGCAAACAAGTAGCATTAGGCACAATATTTACCTTATCATGCCTTGAAGAACACTGTACTTCTTTATCCACTGAGCTGTTTTAATATGTATCTGCAGTGTAGCTATAGAATAATGTGGAGATTAAAGAAACTTAATACTGATACAGTGTTATCAATGAGTTCCCAAAGCATGTAACTGTTCCAACTGTGTTTTTTATAGTTATATGCTTTTCTGGGTCAAAACTGAATCTTGGGTTCCTTGCAGCATTTGGTTGAATGGTCCTTTTGACCATTTCCTCTGGGTGAGTTCTTCCATCCACATCTGCTTTCTCGGATTGAAAATCAGCTGGGAACATGGTCTTGTCCTTAACAGCCCTGTGTCGCCAGTCGACTGTTCCAGAATGAAAGTTCCTCTACAGATGGTTTCCAGCTGTACAAAAACACACCCTCTATCTTTCTGGCCCTAAAATGTCCCAGCAGTGTATCTCACCATTCAGACTAGGCTTGTACTGAGCATCCCAGACTGCCATGGTCACAGTCCCTCTGACCCCAGAGAGCAAGCTAAGCCGTAAGGCTTCCAAGTGTCATGTGAATAGGAACAACTATCATTCCCAAAGGAGTGGGATTCCTCCATATTCCACTCCATCCCAGCAGTCTGGGCCAAAGGGATACTTTGGAACAATGACGAACGATAGTAGAACTCACCAAAGTCAAAACACAGGAGCCGCTGGTCGGCCTCGTGTAACTTCTGAACTTGTGGTTTCGGCTGCGGGCTGCTTTCCCTCTGGTGGAGCAGCTCCTACCGCTAATGCCAATCAACCACTCTGATGCAGAGACAAATCAACAAAGAGGAATTACCTCTGGAAAAGACTATTTCCAAAACACATCTTCGAACTTGCGTGTCTCTTAAAAGCCTCTCCTTTCTTTTGAATTTTGCAGGAGACGGTTTGGAAGGTTTGAGGGAATGTTCGCAGCCTCTACCTTCTCAAAGGAAATTCCTTTTGAAGCCTCGCACTTTGTTATTTTTGTAGACAGTATGATCAGAGCTCCTTCTTGCTCTCCTTTTAGAAAGGAAAAGAACAATTTCCCTGTCGTGTCGAAACACTGTTTTGATGATAACCTGTCAGCCTGACATGTGTATAAAAATATTTTGCTGTGTCTCCGCCTCGGTCTCCCTGGCACAACGGTAGCTGTACCCAGCAACCATCTGATGGAGTCCTCCAAGAGTCCCGCGCTGACTCTAGCTTTGCTTCTCATTTGCCCAGGGCTTCCCTTCAGTGCTGTGGAAACCAGCTGTGATTTTGAGACAGACCTCTGCAACTTCTATCAAGACAAGGACGGCCCAGGTTGGACCAGAGTGAGGGTGAAACCGAACATGTACCGGGCGGGGGACCACACGACAGGAGCAGGTGAGTCACAGGTCTGTCAGGCCGCACAGCCTGGGTTCCACACACCACTTGCTCTTCTCATTTTGTTTCTGCAAAGACGATGGGGAAAAAAAAGAGGAAAAGAATGAAGATGAAGACTGTTTATCTATCACTTCCTTTGTTCATTGAAAGGGTTCTCAGCCAGGAGAGTGAGGTTCTTATCGGTATTTTATCCTCGCTGGGTTAATTTGCCAAAGTTTAGAAAAGACTTTGTAGGGCCTTCTTTTCCACCACAGATTAGACCATCTGGCACTTGGTGGTAACTGGATGTTTTTAAGTTGTCATTCAAGATGCTATGCTACCCAAAGTCTTCGCCAGTCCATTGATTAGACAAATATTTGGAGACTGCTTTGCTCTTCATTTCCGATAAAATACTTTAAAACAAACAAGCAAACAAAAGCTCACTGGATTCATCTGCATGAAATCTACAAAGGGATTCGTAGCGACAGAAGGCAGATTAGTGGTTGCAGGAGCTGTGGGGACAGGGATGGAGACCAGCTATGGATGACCATGGAGTTTCCTTCGGGGACAATGAAAATGCCAGAGAACCAGAGAATGGTGCTGGTTGCTCTTGCTTTGAAAGTTAACAACATGAAAGCATAGTGAATCACCAAAGGGATAACACTATTAACATGGTTGAGATGGGAAATTGTATATTATACATTCTGCCACAATAATAAGTATCACGGTGAAAAACCTTTGAGTGGACATTTCATAGATATATCTGTCCCAGAAGCCAAGGTCTGAGTGCTGCTTGAGTATTGAAAGTACTTTAATGACATCCTCAGGAATCCCACTCACGGGGGGCACAGGGCAGGCAGGGGGCTAAACAGTTTTGTTTTGTTTATTTATCTATGTCCTGGGTACCGTGAAGAATTTGCCACGAAGCTGAGGGAGCTAAATTTCTAGATGTGTTCATTTACAAGGTGACCTTGGAAAGGGCCTTGCAATTTTATGCCTATAATTTTACATTGTTTTCTTACAGATGGTCTAATCTGTAGTGAAAATGAAGGCCCTACAAAGCCTTTTCTAAACTTTGGCAAATTAACCCAGCGAGGATAAAATACCGATATGAACCTCACTCTCCTGGCTGAGAACCCTTTCAATGAACAAAGGAAGTGATAGATAAGCATATATGCAGATGAACATAATCCCAAGCGTAGCAGAGGATGAAGATTTGTTCCCTTCTCTCTTAGTTTCTGTAGCCGAGGCTGAGAATTAAACAGATGTGAGTCAGGTTAGTAAGAGGGAAATGTAACGTTCTAATAAATCAGTTTTACATGAACACGGGAACCTTCCTAAGGAAAATGAAGACTGGAAAATACACAGGCCCGGAAGCTTCTGTATCATCTTTAATAAAGAAAGTTGTGGAAAGCAGCGAGACAGTGAGAGGGAGGGATCATAAATTGTGAGAAAGTGACTGGGAAATCTATGGAGAAAACTAATAAAGACAGTGGCTTTGTTGTGGCTTTGTTTGTACAGATCTACTCTGGTATAGCCTCAGTCTCCGTATACTGACTTCCTAAACAGGATGTGCACCTTGCTCCCAGGACGTCTTATGCCCTGATTTAGATAGAAAGCGAGAAAGCAGAGAGCCCTTTCTGCCTCCACTGTCCTCAAATGCCTTCAGCTCAAAGTAACCAATGTACCAGAGTAGCATACTTTAGGTGCTGAGTCCTGACGACCTTCAGTGCTCCGAGCGAGAAGAGAGTAAGGAACTGATTTCGGTTGGAGATTTCAGAGTGGTCTCTTCAAGGGAGGCGGCAGAGGACAAACATCTGTGAGGTCTTTCAGTGTGAAGAGAGCTTGCCACACCAGCTATGTGGTAGAAGGGACAACATGACTGCCGGGGGGGGGGGGCAATGGATGACAGGTTCGCAGACCAGAGCAAGCCCTGGAATGTTAATTCTAGAGGAGATAAGAAGCTGCTGAAAAGATTTGAGCGGAGAAGAGAAAGATGATATTCAGGTTCCAAAAGGGTCTGGCTGTTGGGTGGCCATCTATATCCGTCCACTGCCAGAGGAAAGCACCACAGACTGGGGCTTACACAACAGCTGCTTTTTGTCACAGTCATGAGTCTGGAAGTCTGGGATCCAGGGCCTGGTGAGGCTGTTCTTCCCAGCTTGCAGACGTCAGTCCTCACACCGCGTCCTCACTTGCCCGGCCAGTGTAGGGGAGGGAACAAGACCTCCGACTCTTCTTCCAAGGATGAGATTTTAAAAATAGTTTGGAGAAACTAAATTGTAGAGAAAGCGCTGAAGTAACTCACAGAGAACGGAGCAGAAAAGGGAAAAGCTGTCTGTCTGGCTTCGCATACATGGATCTGTTTTAAGCTGAATCCATGGGCAGTAGGATTGGTGGTAAGGGAACCATTGCTGCTAGAAATTTTCTTACACTATTAGAACAATTGAACACAGCTTCAGTACCTGGGAGGGCACATCTGGGTAGAAACATGGTTTCTCAGGGACGGGTTTAATATATGGTCAAGAGAACAGTGGATTCTGCCCAGACACAGAAATCTCAAACAATGCCAGGCCAACCCGTCTTGCCACCACCTTGCAGGGCACTACAGATATAGCCTGGGAATGAGTTCTTGACTGCCACTGAGTGTGCGTAACCCAGCACCAGACATCGAGAAAGGCAGACAGTCAGCAGTCCCAAGCTCATTCGTTCATTTTTCTGTTATCAAAAAGCATAATTCTTAGTTAATACCACGAATCTGAGTCTGTGTACTATAAGATCTATACTGCCTCATGACATTTACTTGAATTTCCAAGAGATTTCATTTGCAATGGAGGTACAAGGACATTTTATAGATTTTATATTTTTTGTCACTTAAACGGCAAACTTCAAGAGAAAGCATCTTTCTAGTTTAAAGCCCCCGGAAGTAGTCTCTGCTGGTAAACCCCATTGCACTTGACAGTCTGTGCTTCTCACTCTGCCTTGCTGCTGCTTTGTCTCCCTCACAGGGCATTACCTGCTGGCCAACACTAAGTTTACGTTCCAGCCTGGCTACATCGGAAGGCTCTACGGTCCCTCCTTACCAGGGAACATGCAGTACTGTGTGCGCTTTCATTATGCCATCTTCGGGTTTTTGAAAATGAGCGACACCCTCGCGGTTTATATCTTTGAAGAAAACCACGTGGTGCAGGAGAAGATATGGTCTGTGCTCGAGTCCCCGAGGGGTGTTTGGATGCAAGCTGAAATCAGCTTTAAAAAGCCCATGCCCACAAAGGTACAGTAGCACCAACTGCTCTGTGTCCACTTTTAGTTGCTAGATACGTTCGCAATTCCTGTTTAGTTACTGTCCACTGATGGTGTCTTATTCTTCTGTCCAGATTAAGACCTGTGTTAGTACATAAAATACACACGACCTGCCCCCAGGCGGCTACATGTTAAGTCTTTAATTCCTTTGTGTTTTCTGAATTATGTCCCCCTAAGAACACACACTGTCTCCGTCTCCCACTCTCTCTCCATCTCTCCTCTCTCTCTCTCTCTCTCTCTCTCTCTCTCTCTCTCTCTCTCTCCCTCTCCCCCTCCCCCAAGAACAAAGCACAATGCTGCAATTGAAAAGATGAGATCATTGTGCCTGGGTCTTCACTGTGGCTTTAAGGTTAACACTTAAGGCCTTAAGAGAACACAGGATGAAGACTGGGTGATCACTAGAGCCAGCTGACCCCACTCACACACACACAGGGAGCCATCAGCAGCTGATTTTGTTAGTAATAAGAACACAAAAACAGCCCTATAAATCAAGGCAAATACAAAAGAAAGGCAGTAAGCTCCCAAGCTTACCAATTCATAAACTCAAGGAAGCTTGACAGATGCAGTAAGTTCTGTGAATTAAGATGGGAAACCAGTGTGGGAAAATTCATTTTGTTTTGGCCTGTCTGGAGACTAACACATTTGTCTTGAGTGTCCTCTGTGTAAGAGAGAGATTCAACGAGGGTGAACAAAGGCCATTTCCTCCAAGAGCATCTCAAACAGTGGGGCTCTGTATGTACTGTTGAGTGAATGGGTGAATAAACTGATCATCACATCATCTAGGAGGTACCCCGACTCCAAACCCCCCAAGAAAGGTTAACACCATGGGAGGACAAGATAATCCTTTAGCTTGTTGCCTAGACAATTCCAAATGTGCGCTCAATGAATCTTTCTTTGTATAAATGTCGTTTGACACTTGTATTTTGTCTTTGATGAATCAGGGCTGGAAAAGCCCAGGCCTCTCTATACCTCTTAAGTATCTCAGAGAATTAAGATGTTTGCCCATTTCCAATCATATAATTCTCACAAACAGCCATCACAGCACACATACACAAACACGCACTTGCCGGTTTTACATACTCAAGGACTCACCAGAATGTAGCATTTATGTTTTGCTTTAAATTCAGTTTTACTGATTTTTAAACAAAAATATAGCAAGCATTTTGTTTTATTTATTTGGCTTACATATATTTATTTGTTCATCCATGTGTCTGTTCCTTTATTAAACCATCATCTGTTCTGTATATATCTGAAGCAAGGGATATAAAGATAAAAGAATCTCAGAGTAGATTGAGATGCTTAAGATTGAGATAAATTCACTGAATGTCACTATCCCACTGAATATCACTATGATTGCAGACCTAGTGTTTGGAAGGGTTAAAGTTCAAGCCATGCTGGCTTCTAACCCCTGCTCCTCCTCGCCTCTGTAACCTCTACTGGCGAATGCTGGACTGCTTAGGAATCTGCTCAATCCTTTACAGAGAGTCCCTGCTGTTCCCTGACCCCCAGGAAGCTAGAAGAGCCTCAGAGCAGATAAAGGTGCCCCAGAGGTTCTGTCCTTTTCTTCTTTGGAAGCTGAGCACCAAGACATCCAGCCACTGAGCAATTCCTCAGAAGGGAAAAATGGAGTCAGACCCAAACAGGATGAAGGAGTTCTTACAACTCTTGGGAGAAACTGCTCATGGTTTCAAACGGAACTCCAACACACAAACCTCCAGGTGTCTGTTTGAAGCTGGCCTACTTCTAGAAGATTCCTGCTGGGCAGAACTAGCTCCTCAGAGAGGGAGAGGGTGCAGTTAGTGGAGAAGAATTGAAGCTCGCTTACTTATGGTGTGTGTGTGTGTGTGTGTGTGTGTGTGTGTGTGTGTGTGTGCGTGTGTGTGTGTGTGTGCTTGTGTGTTTATATGCTAGGTTTCCGTGTGTTTACACACATGAAAGCTACTTAAGACAAGAGATACAGCAAAGAGACAGTGTTTCCTTCACTGCCCTCTCCTGCTGAGTGCAAACTCCCATTCTACTCCTGTGTTTTCTGAAGAGTTTCTTTCCAGATTTGTAGTGTTTTCCTCCATTAACTTTTACTGTGCTTGCTGATGCTCTGCTATGAAAAGTTAAGGCCTTCTCATAGTTTTGTTTTTATTATGGTTCTTAGAACATAACTTTAACTATACCTCTGTGTCAAATCTTAGATAGTGTTTATTTACACCTACTTTGTAAGGTGAAAAAATTCTCACTCTTATAATTTTTCTTGGTTTTCTGTGCCCTTCTCAAATATATAGTTGTTTCTGACATTGTTGTGACTGAAACACACACTCACATTCCTACTAAGCTTGACCTGAACAGATGTCCTAGCAGAGGTCCTGTTGACATTAAGGCAGACATTTCTGACTTTGCATAGAACTATCCCTCAAACTACTGGATTTTAAACTTCTATGGTCACTGCAACAACTAAAATTATCTGTAGATTTCTAAATGATGCGCCATATCTTCCTTAGGTGAGAAACATTCATCTATAAGTTAATTCCAAAAATTAACATAATTCTATCTCTAATTGTAAGCCACTTTTGCTTCCTTGCCCTCTGTCTGCTGTTTTGTAGGTTTACGGTGAACCCTTCTCTTGCCATAACCCCTTGGCTTCTTATTTTCAGTGCCCGTACGCTTCCTTTTGTTTTCTATAGTACTGGAAATTGAACTATACTAAGCCCAGGATGGGTAGACTAGCAGGTTTTCATCGAGTAAAGATCTAGGCGCGTGCGTGTTTGTGTGAGTTCCATGCCCAGTTCTCTCACTCTGAGATGCTGGGAGATGTCCCTGCAAGTTCACAGGTCTGAATGGGACTCTTAATACCCCTAAGAAGCTAGAGTTTGATGCACAGTTCTTGTGTAAGCACCCTTCAATGCCTCTGAGAAAAGTATCTGAGAAGTATAGCACCAAACCTGTGAGATTGTTCCCCACATGTGGTTCCTGTCCACAGAGGGTATGTTTCTCCAAATATTCTTCACATTTAAAAAGCGTGTTAAGTCGCAAAGCACTGAAAATAGGCACAGGGTGGGAGGGGGATGCTTATCAGCTGTTGCATGTTGTCTAGAAGCTTCTATTGGCTGCTTTCTACGGTTTAATCATGCAATATTTATTTTAACTTATTCTAAACCGGTGGAAGCTTAAGAGATTTTTCTGAGCATATTGAGCTTCGCATACATTTTATAATAGTTGGAATTTATAATGACTGAGATTCTGAAATGAACCTGCTGGGACTTCTAGAAAGTCCCAGATCAGCTCAGGTCAAAACCAGAAGAAACGTGGCTTTTTTTCAAGCACCTACTGTGTGACCAGAAGTGTCCTCTCCCACTCCCAATCACTGACATCTTCCTACTGTGTGACCAGAAGTGTGCTCTCCCACTCACAATCCTTGACATCTTCCAACAGCCCATTCACAGAGGACTCTGAAATCTCAGTGAGTTAGAATGGCTTGGTTTTTCTTAGTTTCTTGTTCTCCTTCAAATTGCAGGTAAGACCGTTAGGTCAGAGCTCTAAAACACGTCTCAGACATGTTCTCTCTGTCTCACTTGCCACCTCCTCACACAAAATAATTATCACATTCACTGCAATTATGAGGACACTTTGCTGTTTTCTGCAACTTTGGCTGTTGTTTCTCTGCTCTGAACTTAAATGGCAGGGATGAAAGTGGATTCAGGACTCACTGATTACAGAACACACGCTATTTTTATACCATACCTGTTGGTCACTCAGCCCTCTCTTGGTTGATGTCAAATGACAGGATCAGGTAGGAAGGAAAGTGTAGCCCTAACGCTCTGATTAGGTAAATAAGCAAATCCAGGGCTTTATTAAACTGGCTCTCCATTGATCTGTTTTAGAAACATTCGGCTCCCCGAGGGGGTCAGAATTCAAGGTGGTTAATCACAGATAAAACAGATCAATGAGTTAGAACTTGCAGTGCTTGGCTGAGGGCCCTCTGTCACTCATGACTTCTTACTCTGGGCTAGTTTTGTGGCTCCATTATCTATAAAACCTTCACTTTTCTCCCATGTGTAAAATGGGCATCGGTTAGTACATGCTATGAAGTCATTTGTGTATCACGTGAGATTAGGTGAAGTGTGTAGTATGTCTCCTGGCGCATAATTAGCATGATTAAATTCACCACAACACAGACACATAGAAAGAAAGAACAAAGGTTGTTTTTCTAGGTCACAACACTTATTTAGTGCATGGATAATTCTGTATCTTGATTTTTTATTTATTTATTTATTCATTATTTATTTTGACTGTGAGGTGTTGAAAATGAGGTCAGAGTTAAGTCATTTTTAGCAATATTAGACTTTCTTAAATAAATCGAAGATGTGTACAACCATGAGCTCTACAAGATTTTGCATGTGTATGCTTGTATGTGTATGTGAATATTTGTGAGGTGCAGGGGCGTGTTGTGTGCACGCGTGTGCACGCGCATGTGTGCACGTGTGCACAAGCAAACCAGAAATCAGTGGTCAAGAGAATTTCTCAATTGTTTGCCACCTTATTTTTTAAAACAGTCTCTCACTGAATCCGGAACTCAACAATTTGATTAGACTCTCTGACCAGCAAGTCCCAGAGATCTACCTAACTGTTCTTCCCTATATTACACCTGTATTTTATGCTGGCACTAAGGTGGAATTCAGTTCCTCAGGCATGCATGACAAGTACTTTATAGGTTGATCCATTTCCCCAGCCCCTTCTCTCTTTAAAAAAAAAATGTATTTTTAATGTTTCAGAAACGTTCTCAAAAGTTCAAGAACCATAAAACTATATCTTCCACGCCCCCATCGCTACCATCACAGTGTTCTGCAGAATAGAGAGTATCTAGCAAGAATTAATTTGGGACTATGTATGGTAACACACACCCATAATTCCAGCATTTGGGGAGGGAGGTGGCTGAGGCAGGAGACCTGAGAGTTTGTATTTACAAAGCAAGGTCCTGTC